GGAAAAAACAGCTTCGCCAGCGCCCCCAGTGTCGAGGAGAGCAGAACCGCCATGGAGATTAACATTCTGAACAGAAATAAAATGGAAGAGAACATAAATACCAGCTAGACAATTTTGAACATGCAACCCAGCATTCCGCCCTGACAGAAAAGAACAGATGAGCCTCCAACCAATCTCCTAAGGCCCCAAAGCAATAGATACAGCTGTTTGGAAACTCACAGTGAACATGCTTGGTGTTGGGAAGAGTTTGGCTCTAAATGAACGGCTGTTTTGCTGGTCTGGAAATGAAGAGGAGACTACATTTAAAAGCCAGTCAGTCCCTATTCTTAGAGCTCAAGTAGAGGACAGAAGAAGTGGGTAAAAGCATGCGCTTGATGTGGTGGAACAAAATGCATGCTAACCCCTTACGTTATCGTCATTATACTAAGCTGTTCATTTTTGTGTGTGGTAAATAACAATGCTGACACGCTCACAAAATAATGCAGAGCATATGGGTCACAACTGTTTTTAACTAAAGGCTCCTCTACAGATTTATTTAGGTTCTTTAATTATAGAGTGGTTTGGAAGACTGGCATGTGGTTTCAGTTTATAGTCACAAATGCTGGCCTTGGTGATAGGTACGTGCTCACATGGCCTGAGAGAAAGAGGAACAAGATTGGAAATATGGCTTACATTTTCCAGGGTGCTTCCTTATTGTAATTTTTTTTTTTAAAAAGTAAGTGGAAGCCAGATCTGAGTTTGATGTGTCATGAAATGTAGGCCGTGCTGGAGATAAGTGTGCAGGTTGTACATGTCCAGTTTCTCCAGTGTTAGAGTGCTTGAAAAGAGCACTTTTGGTGTGGTGTGCTATGTGTCACACAGCTGACTGTCAGCAGTTCAAACCCAGCAGCAAGTCCAAGGGAGGAAGATACACAGTTCACTCCCAAGAAGATTTATAATCTTGACAGCCCAATGGAAGGCCACTCACAGTCAGAACCATCTTGACAACAGTGAGGGTTGTTGGGACTTTTTTTGTTTTGTTTTAAGAGCTTGACCTGGTAGACATACACATTGACTTGGGATTGATGACTCTTTGTAGTTCCCTCTCCACCCGAAAAAGATGTATTACTTTTAAACTTCTATTTCATAATAAGCTTATACCTTCCGTTAGATGAATCAAGTCATTCTCTGGGGATAGCAGCTTACTATTTCTATCCAGAAAAACAAGACAAAAAGAAGTACTTCACGTAGATGTTTTGACTTAAATATCAGGGTCAGTACACAATCTTCTGAAGGTTGCTATGTATGTGTGTGTATTGTGTGTGTGCATTTAATTGGATAGTTGGTTTTCTGTGTTAGAAGTAATTTGATGTCACTTTATAATAGGACAGATAATAGACTCAGGTACATTCCTGGGAGGGCAGGAAGGAGACTCATATTAAACAGCCCAGAAAGCGTTCAATACGAGTGGTTGGAAGAATTCATTTGTATTTGGCATCATGCACTTTCTGGGTTGGTGGGCAATGATGATAGTAACTGTGGCATCTCTGAAATAGCATCTCTCTTTCTAGCATAAAAGCTGTAGCAGAAAATCAATTTCCTAATTTTTTTTTATGCTTCACAGAGCTCATTCTGGTAGTGATTTTGTTGATTCTTGGGTGGGAGACAATGGATTTGATTCTTGGGTGGGAGATAATGGATAATTTCCTCCATGTCTCAGAATTCATTGGCGGGTCAGCTAGATTTGGTTTCACCTTGATGACAATGAGTTTCTTTGAAATGTGTAAAATCCACTTACTCATTTCTCCATAATTTGCTATTGTATAAGTTTAACCCTGTGTTGCTGACGTATTGTACTGTTTGCTTGTCACTGACTCATTGCTGACTCTCTAGCAGGTTTTCTGAGGCAGTAAATCCCACAGGGAATGAATTACCCATTGTCCTCCAGTAGAGCTGCTGATGGATTTGAACTGCATGCCATTGGGCTGGCACTGCAACTTCTTATCACTCCTCCGTTAGAGCTCTCTTTTAACCTTATGGCTGGCATTAATTATATCGGAAAGCTTTGGCCTAGAGGAATTTACATAGGGAATAAGTTGCATACATAATTAATTAAAACACAACTTAGATTTCTGGCATTCATACAGGGCTGTAACTTTCACATTTTGATAGGCTTTGATTTAATCTTTCAAGGGAGATGTATAGCCATTCTCCAGTTTATAGGTGAAGATACCCCAAGTCCAGCCAGGGTGAATAACCTGTTCAAGGTCACAGGTGGTGAATTGTGTATCTGAGGTGCAGTGCAAGTACCTACAGTGTTTCCTGCCTCTGTATTCACTCCTCTCTCCACTATTTGCCCCTGCTGTGCAGTGGTACACAGAGGGGATGTTTGTTTCCACGTCGGGAGTCTGAGGAAGTGAAGCATGAGACCACCGAGTCACCTGGGAGGGTCAGCAGGGCTTTGGTGGTGCAGAGAGAAAGACATACCAGGCTGAAAAGGATTAGCATACACAGTTCATATTAACAAGTTAAAGACCAAAAAAAAAAGAGGATTCTTGTGTTAGATTTTTTCCCCCCTTTGTGTCTTATATTGACTTTTATCCGTGCATTAATTTAAAAAATGCACTAGAACATACCTAATAAGAGCACAGCCATTGAAAAGAAAACCCTATGGAATGCAGTTCTTCTCTGAAACAATCTCTGTGAGTTGGGCTACCTTAATGGGGTTTTTTTGTGGAAGATGCTGGAGTCATTTATGTGACAGTTATGATAGTCTTCTGTACGGTGGGCCACAGGAGGATCTCCCAGGAGTTTTCCTCCACAGAGATGAAAGTTCAGATGTAATTGTAAGAGTATGTGACCAGAGGGGAAAGAATATGATGCGCGCTATTTCTGGAATTACGTTACACCGCTTCGGGAATGACGGGTAACCCCTGCTACCTCTTAGGGTTTCCTCTTCAGAACTGCTTCAGGATTGACTGTAACTGTGCATTGAGACCCCGCACAGCTCCCAGCATGCTGAAGGTGCTCGGGAAACCAAGAGTGTTGGCCACTCCACATACTTTCTGAAGGGGAAGTCTTGGATTCACCTAAAAGGCCTTCTGGGGTCTCTTTGGTCAAATTGAAACACCTCCTGTTCCCCAACCCCTCACATTGTCCCCACACTGTTCTCTTACAGTACCCTCATAATCCACAATTCCAGGACCAGTTGAGGCTCCACCGTCTCACATAGCCTGGCTTTGCCAAGTTATGACTCTCTGTGCTACAGTCTCATCATTTTAAGTGAGAATAGCAGGGGTTGCTTCTCAGTAGTTGTGTTGAGATTAAAATACTTGGGTATAAAGGAGCTTGGGGAAAGCACAGATGTGTAGTAAGTGTTGGTGTTAGCCACTGTGCTTCCTGTCTGGTAGATCCCTTTTCCTTACAGACCAGCGGTGTAGCTGGCTTGCTGTTGTCTTGTTCATTGTGGAGCCTGCCCTTCTGTCTTTGTAGCTCTTTGCCATTGCCCTCTGTTTTGTTTTCTAGCAATATAGAACTATAAGGCCCCTCATCCCTGCCTCCCTGGTGTTTTGAGTTCTACCTTAAGTGATTTTTATCTTTCTAACTCATTCTTTAGGATGGTTTTTTCCACCTCTTACAGATCTACTAACTCCACTCCTGACCTCCTGGAGATCCCTTTCTTCTTCTGCATTATCTTCTTCCACATGCTCTTATTATCTCACTATTTTTCTATGTGTATCTCTTTCCTTTCTTTTAACTGAATAAGAAGCTGCCAAGTCTTAACCTTTACATTCTCATCAGTTATCTCAGTTCTGTACACATGTCAGAGACTCCATAAATTATTACTAATTACTAAATTAGAAGAGGGATTTTGTCTAACTTTTTAAAAACAATTTATATTGGTTTACTTACAGAGTTTGTATACTTTGTGTTTCAAACTATTCTTCATTCATATTGTGTTTCATATAATCATTCCCATGCATTATGTTTTATAAAATTAATCACTATTGGACTTTGCCCATCATTACTCTGTCTTTTCAGGTCCTTGCCAGATCCTTCCTATTTCCTTCACCTCTTCCTTCCACCCACCAAATTGTGGAACCTTTGGTTTCACCTCTTCCCACCCTCAATTATTAGACTTGTTTTAAGTTTAAAGAGACAAAACTGACCTCACTGAATTTTGAGAAAGTAAAGGTCAAGATGAAGATTGGCCTGTCCTGCTTGATCCATCATAGTCTTTGCCACCTTTAAAGTAGGTGGAGTTTAATGGCCAGAGATTAGCCAGGAACCATGGCAAACTCCTGGTACCATTGTGGATCCCATTACCTTACAGTGTCAGTCATTTATTTACAAAGACACTGTTGTATGTTTAGATTAGTGTAGATAATGCCAACTCTTTGGTATTTTATAGCTTTTTTTTCTAATGTTTAAAAAAAGTTTTTTCTTTCTTTTTGTAACTTTGATGTATTGACCTGAAGGTCTCAACATAATTTAACTGTGGATATGTGCTGTAGCACTTCCTCTTAGGCTCAAGGAATTGCCTAGGCTTTAATAAAATTAATCAAGTGTAGGATCAAAAGCTCAGACTCTTTACCACTGAATTGGAACTAACTCATAGCTTATGTGCTCCAAGAGTTATGGAGCTCAATCGCGCGAGAGGATGTTGAAGTCACATGGGAGGACATTACCCAGTTTTCTCTCGAGGTGTTGGTGAATCTGAACGGCCAGCAAGGTGTAGCATCTGGATTAGCAGCATAACTCCCAGGGGCTATACGACCAGAGCCCTCAAGTTCAATAAATACCAGTGTTGTATCAGTGCCATTTTGGTCGCTCAAGAAGGCATAGGCCACTTGGGGATTGCCTGATTGATTTTAAGAATTTGGAGTAACTAAAATACAATCTTCAGCTTGATACTAAAACATCTCTGAGTCTCCCTTTAAAGACCTAGTGGTTACTTCTGATGACTGTCTAGTAATAAAATGATCTCTATTCTAAGGACTCTCCTTTCTTATCCCCTGCAGCTTTGCCCTGTCAGACGAAGCATACCGATCCCTCAGAGATCAAGATAAAGACCAGTGTATTCTCATTACCGGAGAAAGTGGAGCAGGAAAAACAGGTAAGGCTGCCACTATGAACCCACTTCCCTCTGTGTGAAGGGTAATTGAATGGCCATACAGAAGTTCAGGGAGCCCTCCTTAGCCTGAAGTGCCACAGGGAAATTGCTTTGTGGGAGTTACTATCTGTCATTAGGATCTGGAGGGAGGAATGCCTACAAGGGACTTGTCTCAGCTCTTACATGAAGCGAAAAGCCTCTATGAAAGTTTCGAGCCTATGCAAGAGCCTAGTGCAGTCAGAGTGCTGCTTCGAGACAAGGATGGTGAGACTGGCTCATATACTTCAGGCACATTTTCAGGAGGGACCAGCCCTATAAAAAGACTTCATACTTGGAAAGGTGGAGGATCTGTGAAGGACAGAATGACTTTCAATGAGGTAAATTAACACAGTGACCACAGCAATGGGCTTAATAAACCTGAGCAGATTGTGAAGGTGGCGGCGCAGAGCCCGGCAGGATTTCATTCGCTTTGTGGGTAGCGTCACTGCAAGCTGGAACTGAATTGGTGACACCTGACCACAACCATGCGGTGTCCTAAACTTTTCTAGTGCAGTTTCTGGTTACTTCATGATCTTTTATCCTTTCTCCAAGACCTTAGGCCTCTGTGTGTTTAAAACATGAAACCACTTCCCTACAGAATCTCAAAAACACTTCACTTAGAAGGCCACAACCACACTTTAGTTTTGCTAAAAAGTGGAGAAGGTACCTCAACGTCTTCCTACAGAAGTCTTCCTCTAAAAGCCTGAAGAATTGAGATTTTTTTTGTATGTACTTTTTAGACAGACAGGCATGGAATTAACAAAACTCCCAACTGCTGAGGTGGAGAGGCGATGTTCTTTTGCTTGTGTTTTTAATAAAAGCAGCTTGTACGATTGATGGTCTTGAGTGACAAAGTGATTTTACACATGGTCCCCAGGTACCTGGAAAACATTCAAGAGAGCTTCATCCTCTGAGCCCAGCTGGAGAGGTTAAAATCACTGCTGTCGGGGCTGAGGCACGGATAAAAGGATGAGGAGAAGGAGGGGAAGGAGATGATATTTTTATAATGTTTTCATCTGTAAAATGTTTTCTACATCTGCTTTGAAAACAACTTTTCTTTTCTACCCTTATTCCTTCCTCCACTCTTCTTTTTACGAAGGCCTCCTCTCCTCTTCACCCCCACCCCCCACCCTTCGGCGCAGCTTAAGGACTTGTGAGTAGGTATTAGCGCCTTGCTTCTTCCCACGACTCTTTGGAAATAACATGTACCTTTGCAGAATTGGGCAAGATCCTGGCATGCAGAGGTCCTAAGTCAGAGCAACCAGAGACTCGTATGGGTGGAAGGGATTTTAGGCATCTCTACCACAGGCTAGCCAAGTGCGCGCGCGCGCACGTGTGTGTGTGTGTGTGTGTGTGTGTGTGTGTCTGAGAGAGAGAGAGAGAGAGACAGAGAATATCTATCTACATAAGCAAATTATATACAACATTCTAAGTGAAATGAAGTGTGAAGACATGGTGTTTGTAAGAACATGTGAGCGAGCTCATTTCTGAATCCTCCACTGCCGTGGTCGTATGATATGACCTGATGCTAATGGCATGCCAGTTTGTCAGTACACTTCACAAACGCGTGTGTTCCTAGTTATAATGGTATGATTACTACTTTTAATCCACATGTATTGAATTATACTTGTTTTTCTCATCATCATGAGGATTTCCACTAAATCACATCTTCTCAACATAGTATATAGCTCAACAAAAATCAAGTAAACTTACTGAATGTTGGTTGATTGTAAAGATTTACCTAATCATCGTGATGACTAAAGATACAGGGCTTTTCTTTCTTTTTTTTTTAAAGGATATTTTGACGGTATTGATCTGTTCCTAAGTGAGTCAGCAGAAGTGGGTGGTAGTCACTAGTTTGACCAGTTTTAGGCAGTTCTTTGTATCCTTGGCAACATGTATTCAAGAAGACGGCATGTCCACTAATTAGCCATGTTAATATACAGACTGCTCCTTCTAGTGTGTGGGTCTGTGGTAATGACACTGTTTCCCTCTGGTGTCTGAGTCTGCTTCCCAGAGGACTCATGGACCTTTCTTGTTGAGGGATGCAGTGGAAATAGCTGACAATGCTTCTGAAGGTTGGTAATCATTCTTTTTGGAGGAAAACCCAACAAAATCCATTTGATTCGCCTGATAGAAGTCTAGTAGCATGGAGTTCATTCTTCATTTATTTTTTTTTCTTTCTTGCTCAGTAACTAGGGAGCTCTGTTGGCCTAGTGATGAGAAGTCACACTGCCAGCCCAAAGGCACGCAGTCGGAATCCACCAGCTGCTCTGTGAAAGATGGGTAATCTCGGCTCGACCCATTTCCTCCCTTTTCTCTGAAAACCTGTTGGAGAATCAGCTATGCGTTGGGTCCAACTTGATGGTACACAGCAACACACTCACTTATTAGCTTATTCTGTTGGTTTTAATGCCCTATTTACTACATATCATCATTTGTTCTTGTCATTTTTCATGTATTTAAACCTTCCTGAGAGTCTTTCCCCCCTATCAGAAGCTTCCCCTCACCCCTTTTCCTCTCTCAGGGCTGTTTTATTCACAGCGCACATGTTAATTGCTGCTTAGAGAGGAAGCCAGCCTAGGATCCCATAGACTTCCTGGAGCAGAGCTGCTCAGACTTTCCATGGTAAAGGACCTGGGTTTCCTCCCAATCTTGCTGACTTAGGATAAAAAAAATGAACTACTAGACAAATGAAATAAAAAGCAAAAAAGTCCAGGTTTTATTGTTTTAAAAATTATTTTTTACATACAAACTTGCTATGCATATTTCAGAAAGTGTGTAGCCCTGTAAGAGTTGACAGTCTGCTGGACATTGGGCTTCACTTGAGTAGCATTGACCTCTAGGTCCGTGGGAACCTGTGGCTTGTTATGGGGCCACTAGATGGATTGTCAGTGACTTAATTTTACTTGGATTGACAATGAACACCCCTGAGAACATAAGTTAAGAAGTCAAAAGATGTGTTGCATTGGGAAAATCTGCTTTCAAGGGTCTCTCCAAGGGGCTAATGAGCAACGATGTCAGTTTGTAGATTAAGGTGCACATAATCTGAACCATGGCCTTTTTACTTACCTCCTATGCATCTAATAGTTGAACCTGAGTAAGGAAGGCTGAAGAAGAATGGTTGCCTTTGAATTATGGTCTTGCCAAAGTCTTGGTTATACCATCAAAGAATAAACAAGTATGTCTTGGTGGAGGTCATGTCAGGGTGCTTCTTAGTGGTAATGACAGTGAAACTTAGCTGCACATACTTTGGGCATCTTACCAGGAGGACCAGTCCCTGGAAAGGGGCATCCTGCTGAGAAGGTAGAGAATCCGTTAAAGAAAAGATACCCCCTAACTAGGTAGACTGGCACAGTGACTTCAGTGGTGAGGGTGAGCACGGTGGAAACCATGAGGCTGGCACAGGATCGGGCTCAGTTCAGATCTTTTGTTCAGAGGGCCCTACATGGTAGTTGACTTGGAGGCACTTAACAATAACAAGACTTGCTATGGCATGAACTAGGAGTATCTGCTTTCACCATTGTCACTGAAAGTACCTGTGCTCATAGGTGAACACTATTCCAGATAGCTACTGCTTTTAAGTATCCACCCTCTTCTGTAGTCACTGACCTCTGACCCTTCCTTTCCTTTCTAGATCCCAGAAGTTTCCTCCTCCTGACCACTTGTCCCTCACAGAGCACACAGGGTTTTATATACGTAACTCTAACCTTTTTTCCATCTTTCTTTTCCTTCCTTCC